TTTGGTGTTGATAATTTTGTAATTTTGTTAAAGTTAAAGGTTAAAATGGGTATAAGAAAGGAATGGGAAGGGTGAAATTGGAAAAAATTGAAAGAAGATTGCATGAGAAATTGAACCGGTGATTTTTCTGATTTCACCGGTTCTACTGGTTTTTACCAGTTTTACCGGTTTTTGACCGGTTTTGACCGGTTTTGACCGGTTTTGACCTAAAACGGTTTTCTTATGTGAACCAAACCGTTTTCATGACTGGGTACCGGTCCGACCGGTTCAACCGGCCGGTCCGGTCCGGTTTTAAAAACCTTGTTTGTTAGTATTATTTTCTTTTGATTTTACCGGTTTTTGACCGATTTTGACCGGTTTTGACCGGTTTTGACCTAAAACGGTTTTCTTATGTGAACCGAACCGTTTTCATGACTGGGTACCGGTCCGACCGGTTCAACCGGCCGGTCCGGTCCGGTTTTAAAAACCTTGCTCAAAACTATAATAAATGAAGGGTAAAAGTGAGATTTTTTATTAACTTTTCTTATATCAATTCTTTACAAAAACATAACAAAATTAACATTCCAACAATTTCAACAAAAAATTAATTTCAAAACTTAACAACTTTCCAACTTTAAGAGTTACATTTACTGATAAATAAATACTGTCTTATAAGTCAAGTGTAGGGTTCAAGTCTTGGAGCAGCACCTAAGGAAATTAATTTTCTTCAATGCAAAACTTTCACCTATCCTCTCCCCTCTGCCTCCCTCAAACCAAACATACTATTAGGAACTCTCTTAATCACGACCACCACCTAATGCTTCTTGATAAATATTCTCAATTTCTTGTAGAAGTCTGCTGATCTCATTCCCTGCTAGAGCAAGTTGCTGTGGATCATTTGAACTTAAAAGACTCGATATTTTCTTCTGTGCGCTATTAATCTGTGTATGCATACAAGAAAAACTTGAATTAGAACATGTTGATATAATAAATTAAGGAGAAGTATATAGCTTAAACAGTACAGTAGGGAGACAAACCTTTCTAAAAGGCCATCTTCCCAGTTTCTTTTCTCGGCGTATCCTCCTCAGCGTAGTAATGCATAACCCGATCTCCTTCGCTGCCTCCTCAATTGGAAGATGAATAAATTTTGCTATGTCATTCAGTGAGGTATTTGCAGCTCTTTGTCGCTGTATTACAGCAAAATATTACATACTGAAAGAAAACTGAAAGCCTTTGATATCATTAAAGAAAGTAGCAACATTGTACCTGCTCAGATAGATTGGTCTGAGGGACCCTTGGTTGCTCATTATCATTTCCTGCTTCGTTGTTCACTTGAAGTTCCCCTGCAAATATTAGAATCACCTCCATGAAAATTGTTCACATTTTCCAAATCGAACTCTAAAGAAATTAACCATTCCATACCTGAATTCGACAAAGGTGGTGGGATGGAGTTGTCACTGCACTGATTTTCACCCAATGCAACGCGTAAGGCCTCGGTTAAGTCTGACACTGGATCCACTGTTGCAGTGAATCCTGCTTGCCATTTCTCCGAATAATATTCATCCAGAAATTGACTCACTTCCTCCAGGCTGCAAAGACTAACCCCAAAAAAAAAAGCAAAAATGAGGGATTAATTTCAGTTAAATAAAACTACATTACTCTTACTATAAAGTATTTAACTCACGTTCGGTATCCTGCAGGAAATTCAGGTAACTCCCCTATTTTAGTTGTGATAATCGCATGATAGATCTCTTCCGGATTTCGAAGTATTACAAGATTTGTAACTTCGGCGTCTGTCATGAACAGAGTAACGAAATCAAATAAAAAAAAAAATACTAAACCCAAATTATAATATATATATATATATATATATATTTTACATTTAACTTACCGTTTGTATGAACTATTTCTGTGAGGACTTGGCAGTAGCTACAATCAGAGGGGTTTGAGGACCATACAGAAGGTGGTATAGAATCCTCACAATTTGCATTTCCAGCTTGAAAGTTTGTTTGATTTCCATTGCTTGATTGTTCAACAATCTGGGAAGGCCCCGTTTGAGTCCAAATTCTGACATGCTCGAAAGGATTATTAGAACTCCCAATTCCAGTACCCTGTTGAAGAATTGAAGGGGGTTGCAGTTGCAGATATGCTTCCTGAATTTCAGGGGTGGGATTCCCGTTTCCCGCGAAACCAAAAAGCTCGTCAACGGTAAGCGTACTCTCGGGTAGGACGATTGCTTCAGGAGGGTAGTTATATGGAGGAACGTTTTGTGGATACTCCATGAGAGACTAAATGGGACTGTTTTTTTAGCTAGGGTGGTGGTGGCAAGGGCAAACGAGCGCCACTGGAGGGAGTAGAGGGCCGGTTTACTCAAGCAGCCATCCTGTGCATATACTTATATGCAGGAACTTGACATTGACAGTTAATTAAAGGCAACTCGCGACGGTTGGAAATTGTGAATTTTATTTGTTTCTTTTAATTACTAGTTTGGAAAAGTTGACCGTCGCGCTGGTTGGGTCTTATGTTTGAGTGGAGCTGGGTGTCGGATTCACACTGTCTGAATTTTGGGTTATTCAGAAAATTTTTCTGTGAGGCCTTCTATACTAAACCTAAATTAAATATTTAATTTAGTTATAATTTTAGATAATTAAAATTATTTAGATAATTTAATTATTAACTAAAATAACAAATACTATGTTTGAATTAAGAGAAAAAAACATGAGAGAGATAAAAAAGTTTTAATCAATCGAATTATAATATTTTAAAAATATTATAATTTAATTAACTTTATTCTCTCAATTCAAATATATTATAAGATTTTTATATATTAAAATTAATATCTCATTATTTTTTATTATTGGTTAATAAAAGTTTACTCTTTTTAATTTTGATTAGGCAAAATACCCAAATTCACCCCCGAAGTTAGGCAGTAGGGATGGATCCACCCCTGAACAAAAAAGGAGAACAAATTCACCTATAAAATTTTTGATTTGGACAAATAACCCATTATTTGACGTGCTACATCATGTGACATCATCATTTCGTTAACTGCTTGTTAAGTCTGACTTTTTAAACATCGTGGAATCTTTTTTAACACCTGGATGCTTAGGTGGCCATTTTTGTTGAATTGGATGACTACATGGCACTTACCTCATTTTTTTATCTCCATCTCATCTAGGTCTTATTTAAATGCCAAAATTACATCTCTTATCTAATTACAAATATACCCTTTTCTTCTTCCTTTCCCTAATTTGCCTTTTCCCTTTCTAACCACAGTAGATCAGAGGCCGATAGTGGCGAGAGCATTTTTCTCCTTTCTCCCTTTCTCCTTTTCTACCCTTTCCATCATGTGAGGTTGGGGCCAAATGGAACCCAGATTAGAAGCCACGAGATATAATCATGCCTCTTGACAACCTTGAAGTGCCATAGAACAAAGAAAATTGAGATTTGTGTTCCTTTGTCATAAGGGCTTGAAGGAGTTGCAAATTTTGCAAGTTTGTTGTGCAATTTTGGGTATAATAGTGTTGAAATTAACTGATGAGAATTGAAATTGCAATTTTGGTTATAATAGAGGAAACCCAGATATAGGTTTGTTGTCTTCAAGGATTTTGTAGAACCCACCATAATAGATCTAGTTCAAGATGCTCGGCTGCGTATAATGGTGGGTTTGTTGCCATTTTCTACGATATCCTTGAAGACAACAAACCCACCATAACAAATCTGATTCTAGATGCTTGGCTGGGGATGTTGGAGGAGTATTTGAGGTCAACTGTGGATAATATCCAAGAATACCGGCCAAGAAAGCTTGGATTTAAAAGGAAAAGCTTGGATTTAAAAGAAAACTCACCAAAACACAATGGACCAAATTCTCCATATATGAATCGGTTGATTTTGGTGGGGAAAGGCGGTTTACGCTAAACTTAATGCTTCAATTGTGTATATTCTTGTCAAAATTAAGGAGTAGAGCCAAGTGGGGCAATTGTGGTGCGTATCTACTCGTCTCACTCTACCACTAATAGATTTATGGAGTACTGTGTTTGAAAAATTCATGCCAAGAGTAGGCATGGA